AAATGCTAACATTTGTTATAATTGTGTGATTGATAGGCATGGATGGCACCGGAAGTGATCCGCAATGAGCCCTGTTCTGAGAAAGTGGATGTTTGGTAAGATTCATACCTCTAATTAGCCCTAATATATGCATTTCTATCTCCACTCCCTATTTTTGGGGACAACTGATTATTCAATATGTGCTGTATATCTGGGCTAACGATTCCAGTGATGAGATGCACACTAAATAAATCTCTTATATATCCAAACAGCGATATTAGTGTAGGTGTAGTCGGAATGCCATAGCTTTGTCTCTGCATTTTCACTCTCACTAATATATACACACATAACTCATAGATATAGATATAAAGGGATTAAAGTTTTGTTTTTACGTTTTGAGGTACAAGTGAACCTCTTTATATGTAACGATTGAGTAATGCGTTTATATTAAATGGGCAAATTGACTAGTACACTATAAAAAGAAAAGACATATTTTATTGATCAAAACAATGAGCGAATTATTGGACGATTTGTCACTTAAATAGGTCTCAGATATCGTTACTCTAAACCTCATTTCGGAAACTCTTTATTTCTTAAAATGCTAACATTTGTTATAATTGTGTGATTGATAGGCATGGATGGCACCGGAAGTGATCCGCAATGAGCCCTGTTCTGAGAAAGTGGATGTTTGGTAAGATTCATACCTCTAATTAGCCCTAATATTTGCATTCCTATCTCCACTCCCTATTTTTGGGGACAACTGATTATTCAATATGTGCTGTATATCTGGGCTAACGATTCCAGTGATGAGATGCACACTAAATAAATACACTATAAAAAGAAAAGACATATTTTATTGATCAAAACAATGAGCGAATTATTGGACGATTTGTCACTTAAATAGGTCTCAGATATCGTTACTCTAAACCTCATTTCGGAAACTCTTTATTTCTTTTTTAATTTTCGTTTAGTTTTACAAACTTTTAGATTCTTATCATTTGTCAGTATTATGTTTGCATTCAATACAATGAGTTCAATGAAAGTCAATCGATAACTCTTTTGCATATATTGTATGACAAAAAATCGATTAAAATAACAGCGAATTCATTAAAAACTATTAAATAAAAAGACTATTACTTCTAAGAAATGATTCCTTTGTTCCAAATGCTGAATAAATATCGATTCAAATAAACATAACAAGTATTTCACTGGAAATGCCCATTAATTTGTGGGAAAAACGCTCTCTTATTTGTTTTTCTACTTCACATATAATTAGATTATTATAATTTATATTCTCTTTCGTATAATTAATAGGAGTTTTGGTGTCGTCTTATGGGAACTGATGAACTGCGAGATCCCTTATCGAGACGTTGACTCGTCGGCCATTATATGGGGTGTCGGCAACTCGAGTCTCACTCTACCCGTTGCCACCAAATGCTTTCCCGAAGGCTTTCAGCTACTGATGAAACAGTGTTGGAATGCAAAGGCACGCAATCGGCCCTCATTTAAGAACATTATAATGCATATCGAGATCGCGGCCAACGAGTTGGTCAACATTGAACCCGACGAGTACTTTAAGCTGCAGATCGATTGGCGCGAAGAGATTCAATACAATGAGTTCAATGAAAGTCAATCGATAACTCTTTTGCATATATTGTATGACAAAAAATCGATTAAAATAACAGCGAATTCATTAAAAACTATTAAATAAAAAGACTATTACTTCTAAGAAATGTTTCCTTTGTTCCAAATGCTGAATAAATATCGATTCAAATAAACATAACAAGTATTTCACTGGAAATGCCCATTAATTTGTGGGAAAAACGCTCTCTTATTTGTTTTTCGACTTCACATATAATTAGATTATTATAATTTATATTCTCTTTGGTATAATTAATAGGAGTTTTGGTGTTGTCTTATGGGAACTGATGAACTGCGAGATCCCTTATCGAGACGTTGACTCGTCGGCCATCATATGGGGTGTCGGCAACTCGAGTCTCACTCTACCCGTTGCCACCAAATGCTTTCCCGAAGGCTTTCAGCTACTGATGAAACAGTGTTGGAACGCAAAGGCACGCAATCGGCCCTCATTTAAGAACATTATAATGCATATCGAGATCGCGGCCAACGAGTTGGTCAACATTGAACCCGACGAGTACTTTAAGCTGCAGATCGATTGGCGCGAAGAGATTC